TGTCGTTACCTACATATTTTAGTCTTGTCACACACTGGTGGTGACGGATTAAGTATACAGAGTGTCACCACCCCTATTCCTCCCGTGGTTGTCGTAAGAGCCGACTAAGGGAGCAAACTACGCAGGACAACAGCACTGCAGAGAGAAGGAAAACTTGGCGCAAACCCTATACCAACTTGTCTGGCCAGCGTGGTATAGTAGGCAAAAACCACTGCAGAGAGGCTTATGCCCAGCAGTGGATGTTTTTCGGTCTCGCTCCCAACCATTCAGAGCGTGTAACGCGCGATAAGGAACTTCCTTCCAAAAGAAAGGGTAAGGTTAATAGGAAACAGATATTACTTATGTGGATGGGTGTATTTATTTAGTCCACCTTTGCGCTAAAGTACAGGGGCTTAATGCTTGAGGCATTTTCTGCCATTACCTTCGGGTGACACAAAGAAAACAGGAAATAGGTGCATTCAAATGACTTTAGTTCATTAAATATACAAGGTAACTGTCAGACTGACATGTGTACACAAACATCCATACTTATAACATAAATGTAAAAGTGAGTACGCTAAAGTAAAGAAGATTAAGATTAGTAAAGTATGTAAAGTGTTACGCTTTAACGCCTAAGCCACTAAACCAATTTAAAAAAATTCTTACAGCAATGGAAAGCTACATAATCAGCGAGTAACATAGGCCACTTTTTACCGCGATAGCCGACATACACGCTGACGGAGCCGCGGGCAAAAACTAGTATGGAAATAAACATACATACTTACTTATAATAAAAATAACTAGAGATCTAACACACCACCGTCTGATCTTAAGCAAAGCCTGTGCTACAATAACAGGACTGCTAAGTATGTATTACTTACATATTACGAAACTTATACTCGTAAATACTCCCTTATTTTAACCCCTTAAGAGGGTAATTTTCAAAAATCCTTTCTTAGTGGATGCTCACCGCATTAAAAGCATCAGCTACCAAAATTACAAGTTTGCGACCCCAGCGGTTTAGGCTCTGCGTGGCTGAATCAGTCGGTCAGGGCTAGTAATTTTATATGTATAGATTCTCTAATAATATTACCCAAGAAAACGAGACACGGAAATAATAACATATTCTAATTTATTTTCTTGTTCTCCGTGGCTTTCATCACACTTAATACGTAATGTGTTGAACAAAATATGTTGTGTTCTCGTGTTCCTAAATAAATAGATCTACAAATGTTGAACACGTTTCTCCATAAGTTGGACAGACAAACAAACAGTCATAATATATGCACATGCACTTATATAAAAGGTGTCGTGGGTCACCCAATATGAACGCAGTTCCTTATGCTAAAGGGTGTCTCAGTAAGAGTACACTTTTTAAATTTAGAATATTTTTTTTCCTGCAAGTGGAAATCTCTGAAATTTTACAGCTTTCACCTATGTTTATTCCGATTATTAAAAATGGAGCGCTTTTCGAAAGAACAACTCGTTATAAGCGTGAAAACTCATTACAAAAATCGGGCAATTTATGCTGAAACCTCTCGCAAACTTCGCCAAATTTTCAGTCGAGGAAGTGCACCTAATGTGTCAACCGTTTGAAGACTGGTCAAACATTTTGCAGAAACTGGATCGATTATGGATATTAAGAATCCTTTGTGTCAACGTACCGGTCGGTCTCTTGAAAACATTGCTGCTGTAAACGAGAGTGTCGCCGAAAACCATCAATTCGGCATCGTTCTCAACAACTTCAAATTTCACCAAGCACTACGCAGCGAATTTTGACAAAAGACCTTCATGCATACAAGATTTAGCTAACTCAGGAGCTCAAACCAGCAGACCAATGAAAGCGCCAGCAATTCGTTCAATGGGTAAATAGAGCAAAGTGAAGTTGATGTCAATTTTTCGAAAAAGTCATCTTCTCCGATGAAGCGCATTTCCAACTGAATGGCTACGTATATACACTTAATTGACAAATTTGGGGCTCAGAAAATCCTCATGCAATCCATGAAAAACATGACTTTTGACTGCACGGATGGCGTAGTGGTTTAAGCTGTCGCCACGCTGCTTCCTACTACACTGAGTGTTGTGGGTTCGATCCCCACACGTGACGACACTTTGTGTGATCCACAAATTTTCGTTCTGAGTCTGGGTGTTCCTTGTGTCCGTTTCATGTATGTTTGTAAAGTCCCCCACTACATCACGTTCTTGTGAGACAGAGAAGAAATATGGCGGTCTCTGATGGATTAGTCAACGGAGCAATGGGTGTTATAAAAAAATCAAGTGGCCAGCCCAGAAGCAGGAGAACTGCCCGAATCAGTATTGATTAAATTTTATGACGAGACGGTAGGCACTAGGGTAAAAGATGCGGAGGGCCTAGTTTCAATCGCATCAACATCTGCAACTTTTCAGGCCAATAAAGGTTACGGTGATGTCGAGAGATTAATGCTGCCACTAATTTTAAGTTGGGCTGTCACCGTCCAAGGTACGACATTGGAGAGGGCGGTGATAAACCTGGGAAAAAAAAATTTTGCAAAAGGTCAGATATATGTGGCTTTAAGTCGAGTGAAGAATTTAGATGGCGTGGCATTAAGTGATTTGGAACCATCTAAATTATTACACAAACCACATGATGACAAAGCACTACAGGAAGTGTAACGATTAAGACAGTTAAATCTAGATATTTTTTTTTTACTTATTTTTAAAATTTCCTTTTTATTTATTTCTTCGTTCCGAGATTTTATATGCAATCGTATTGGTTATGATATTTCTCAATTTCTCTACTCCGCAAGCTCGCTCCGCTTCAATGACAGGTAGCCTAAGACCCACTTATCGGGACACGGGTTAATAGTAATATATAATCAACTTAAATGAAAACGCCTCAAAAGGCCGTACACAAACTAAAATTATATCATCCAAGTAAACAATAATATTCATTCAAAATGTTCATAAAATGGAAACTACTGGGCCTAACTATGTTAAATTTTTATGGGACCAAATGGCAACTATTCCGCATCAAACTAAAGAAGAATCACGTAAATCGGATCATAAATCTCAGAGTAATCGGTGTACATATATTAAAAAAAAAATACCAATTGAATTGAGAACCTCCTCCTTTTTGAAGTCGGTTAAAAAATATCACAACTCTTTCACAAAATACGTTTTTTTCTTCTTTAAAAATAAAAGTGCACTCTTCCTGAGATACACATTTTATTTGTATAAAAAAAAATGCGTATAAATTTTATATATAAACTTGCTGGTTAGTGCTGCCTTAGTGGGTTCGATTCCCGGACCGGACAACATTTTATGGGGTTTTTCTGAGAGAAAAAGCCGTGTGGTGTCGTGGGACACCCGATAGGAACGAAGTTGTGACGATCGAGTAAAACTGATTCGACACGATTTTAATTACAACGCCATCTATGAAAGCGGCTATTACCTACATATTTTTCAGTTGGTTTCTAATTAAAACAATTTATACATTGGTAAAATCTCCTTGAGAAGTAATTTCCTATCTATTCGATAGATGGCGCTGAATGACTAACAAGTGACAATTTAAAATAAATACTTAGATGAAAAAAATGATTTCCTATCTATTCGATAGATGGCGCTGAATGACTGACATAAAAAGTGTCGTTACAACTTTTCGTGAGATTTTTGCCGTCTAGCCCCTTTCACAACGCGCGATAAGGAACTTCGTTCCAAAAAAATTGCTTAAGTAAAATATTATTAAAATCGGTACAGCCGTTTTGAAGAGTACCCGGAACAAAAAGATAGACAGACAGCCGAAAAATATTTAAACTGGTTTTTAAGCATAGGTATCGTGCAAATAACTGTGAACATGATAAAAAGCTTTGGGAAAAGGAGTTTGGGTGTTATCGTTTTCATGTTGCAAGATAAATAATAAATAAATATTTCGGACATCTAATACACAACAACATCTAGTTTCAAACTAAGCAGAGCTTGTACTACGAAAGCTAGATTAAGTGTTAGAATACCATATTTTTTTCCGTGCGGAAATCCCCTCGGATACCACCTATCGGTGGCATATCGGACTCGAAGCGACTAAAACCGCACGCCGTCTCGGGTACTAATAGCCGGGGAAGCAGGTATACCCTAGAAAGGAAATCCCTGGTGCCCCGACATACCTCGGGCCATCTACAGACGAGTAGACGACCCCCCCCGTGTGGGAACCCCATGTTCCCTCTGCTCCCTGGAACCGGCCACCCCGGCCTGCTTCTGCTAGGGTGACAGATGGCCTCACCTCTCACCCCCAGGCCTGCGCTGATGGAGGACGGAGATCGTTCTGCGACCTCCGGCGCCTGAGTCGCCTGCGGTACTTGGCCCGTTCCCGGGCCTGGCGGGCCGGGAGAGTTCTAAAGATCTCCCGGTCAGTGTTAGAATACCTATATACTTTTTTTAGTAAATAAATACCCATTATACATAGAAAACACCCAAATTCTAAAACAAATATTTGCAGATCATACAAACATTTGATCTGGCCCGGGAATCGAACCCGAGACCACAGCTCAGGAGTCGCATACGCTACCTATTATACCAACGAGGCAATCAATGTCAATGTCCGAAATATTATTATATTAATGTTGTTGATGAGTCTTGTTTTTTTACAATCAATAGTATTCGAGTTATTTAATTATTTAATAAAAAAAATGCTGTTGATAAAAATCAAGGTCCTGAGTCAACACGATAAAAAGATATTGGCAAATTTCGAATTTCGCGAAAAATTCACCGTTGGTTAAAAAAAGGCACAATTGTGGAGTGTCAATTGTCCAAGTGATGAGATAGATGTTTGTTCGCATGTATTATCATTAAATAATAAAACATTTACATTTAAAGAATCGTTTTTATTAGAGGAGAGCATTCGAGAGTCTGATACAAATACAGTTTCAATATTTGACCACATTCTAAATTTAATTTCGAAAGAGCGCTTTTCTAACCATACGCTTTAAGAAAAAAAAAACCGCACGCACACAAAACGCCCGTGCGACGCTGGTCATCTGAACATGCTCTTAGTGTATCTTTTCATTTCGAGTCGACGTATTGCTTTTGTGTAAGCACTTCAAGTGTTTAGTTAAATTTGACTTGCTCGAGAATGTCTGAAAAAAAAAACAACCATAAATTGTTAAAATAAATAAAATAGGTAATTTGTTGTCCGTACCTCAAAAGGAAAAAAAGGTACCCTTATAAGATCACTTTCTTGTCCGTCTGTCCGTGTGTCACCACCGAATTTCTCAGGAACGGGTAGACAAAGCAAGTTGAAATTTATACCAGACTCTGAGGTCTATGGTCCTATTAGGTGCATAAAAATCAACCGGAAGTACCTTATAGGTTTTGGGTCGAAAACCTATATGGTAGTTCCCGTTGACCTAGAATCACGAAATTTGGCAAAAAGGAATAATTCCAAAAAATAAAAATAGTTGAAATTTAAGATAAATTTTGGTACTTACAAATATTCGCGAAAATCTACGTAAAATCTGGGTAGGTACGGAACCCTCGGTGCACGAGTTCGACTCGTACCTGACCGGTTTTTTTTAAGTTAAACATCATCATCAACAGCATTTAATGGTCTACTGCTGGACATAGGCCTCTCCTGAGCAAGGAGGTTTTGGGCTACTATACCACGCTGGCCAGACGGGTTGGTATAGGGTTTGTTTTAACTTGTTTTACAGTACTGTTGTCCTGCGTAGTTTGCTCCCTTAGTCGGCTTACGACACCCACGGGATGAATAGGGGTGGTGACACTCCTTATTCTTAATTGGTCACCATACGGCCGCATCTAATTTTTTTATTTCATCATCATCATCATCATCATCAGTCTATCACAGTCCACTGCTGGACATAGGCCTCTCCCATTGCATGCCATTTTTTTATTTAGAAGTTTGATTTTTTTCACAGCTTCAAGGGACAATAGAAACTGTTATTTATTAGACTTGAGCATATGGGGTCTTGACACACCAACAGATGACAAACAATGATCCTATAAGGATTCCGTTTCTTCCTTTTGAGGTACGAAACACAAAAATATACGCTTTTGTAAAAAGTTTAGTCTTTTTAAACTATTATTTATTAGTCTCTGGTGTAAATATTTCCGAATACGAAATTTCTGCTTCCTGCCGTCGATGTGAACCACACCCATCTATACAACGCTTTTACATCTGCCGCCAGTCCTTAGAGACTGCCTCTGTTTTTTTTAATGTAGGTGCGTAGGGATAGTCCTGGCCTAAAAGAAACAGAGGCAGTCTCTACGGACGTAAAAACTCAAAACAATGACTGGCCTGATTGTCTAGTGATCTAGTGGTTAGTGACCCTGACTGCTACGCCAGAGGTCGTGGGTTCGATTCCCACCCAAAAATAATTGTGTGATGAGCACGGTCATTTGTTGTGTGGCTGGGTGTACTTTATCTATAATATGTATGTTTTTAGAAATATATAAGTATGTTTATCAGCAGTCTGGTTACCATAGTACAGGCTCGTCTAGTTTGGTATCAGAGGGCCGTATAATTTTATTTATTTTTTATTTTGACCAATATAAATATTACAGTGTAGGACATTTCAGTTTAACATAGATCTTAGACAATAATTAGACTAAGTTACACTAGCGTAAATCTATAGTAGTGTTATTTTATGATTAGATTTCATAAAGATATTACGATTTTGTTTAAAAACTTTAGTCGCTGCTGTTTAGTATGTGAGATGTGTGAAGAAATATAATGGAAGTACGCGTCGCTAGTCAGGCGCAATATGTCACCGGGCACGTCACCGTCATCGGTGACACGAACCCGTGTTGAGCGATTTTTGGTAGGTTTTTCCTACCAAAAATCGCTCAACGCTTCTTATGAAATTTTCACTTAAAGTAAAACACGGTTGTACAGTTGTACCTTATTACATTGTGGGCAGTAAAGTTCTTGTAGTCCGTTGGTGTGTCGCGCCACGTGGCTGTTTAAACTTTTAACTGTACTGAATTCTTTGGAACATTGCTTGCATTTGTACCTGCCAAAGATTTTATAACTCAATCAATACAAATAATATCGAAGTGTCTGTTTGTACTGTTAAAATAATATTTTTTTAAGCCATTTAGTTACTCGTAAAATACATATCTCTAAAGTCAGTTTGGTCGCCTGCAACTCTTGAGTTACAAACGCGTTTCTGGCCTTTTAGGAAGGAGTACGCTCTTTTCTTGAAGGTTTGAAAGTCGTATCGGTCCGGAAATACCGCAGATGATAACTTGTTCCACAGATTGTCTTGAAAAGCGCACAGTGGTGGATCGCCAATTACTGAAGTGATAGGGATGAAAATTTTGCGAACGATGGCGAAAAGTTGCGACCGGTAGTAGTCCGAACAATTCCTCGGAGCACTCTCCGCGATATATACGACAGGGAATGCAGAGAGAAGATACATCTCTACGTAACGCCAAGGGATCGAGCCGATCAGAGATCTTCTGTCGTGGAATTTGATATACAAATGTTTATCTACAGTATGTCGAATCAATAAATATTTTCAGCTAGATAATTAGCCTTAAAGTCAGCTACCTGCCAGTACAATCTTATCAGAATCGGTCCAACCCTTTCGAAGATTAGCGGGAACAAACAGACCGACAAACTACGCTATAATTACAAGTTTGTATCCCCAGCGGTTGGGCTCTGCGTTGATGAATAAGTCGGTCAGGGCAAGTGATTTTAAATGTATAGACAGGCTGGTCCTCCGACTTTGTTCGCGTGGAACCGTGGACCGGGCAATATTTTAAAGGGTTTTTCTGAGTGGAAAAATAGCCTAAGTTACTTCTTATATAGACAGCTACCTGGTAGTAAAATATTATTAAAATCGGTCCAGCCGTTTAGAAGATTACCCGGAACAAACAGACAGAGAGACAAAAGAAACTAGTTTTTAGTCATAGGTATCGTGTAAATAACTATTTATATATTATTATTTTGACATTACAAACAGACACTTCAATTTTATTTATTTGTATACTCGTAGATAATTAACTGTAAAAAGTAGCCTATGTTTTTCGCTGATAATGCAGCTTTCTATTGGTGAAAGAATTTTTGTTTTCGGTTAAATGGTTTAGGCGTGAAAGCGTAATAAACAGACAAGCAATTTCATATCCATCATTATGTGAGTTTGTTTGTTTGTTTATTACGCTTTTACGCCTAAACCACTTAAACGAATTTTAAAGTTCTTTGTGTGTTCCTGTCTTCAACATTACTTACATATAATTTCTATCACGAATGTGTCTCACAGACTCACTCAAATGTCTTTTCAGACTCTTGGCGGTTTTGTAGTACGTGTTGCACTCGACGCAGTAATGTTCGCTCACGTCTGAGTGCACAGTGCGATGAGCCCTCAGGTTTGAGTTAGTTGTGAAGGAGCGGGAACAGGAGGTACAACTAAATGGCCTGGTACCAGTATGCGACCTGCAATGACAATAATAACCTCACACATCTCACAACCGACCGTCTGATCCCAAACTAGGCAGAGCCTGTACCATGGTATACAGACTGCTGATAAACATACCTATATATTTTTAAACACATACATATTTTAGATAAATTACACCTAGATGGAGAACAAATGTCCTGCTCATCAAAAATATATTTGTAGTAGGTGGGAATCGAACCCACGACCTCTAGCTTAGCAATCATTATCACTAATCACTAGACCAGTCGAAATCAATCCTATTAATAGTAATAACTAGCGTATCAATTAGCTCCTCTCACATCAAAGTTTTCTCTAAACCCCCTCCCTTCCCATAACATCCGGGTGATGACGATAACGGCTTAAAATACAGTGTCACTACCCTTATTCATTCCGCATGTGTAAGAGCCGACTTAGGGAGCAAACTACGCAAGACAATAGCCCTCAAAGACAAGGAAATCTTGACACAAACCCTATACCAACCCGTCTGGCCAGCGTGGTATAGTAGGAAAAAATCTCCTTTCTAAGGAGAGGCCTATGTCCAACAGTGGATTATTATAGGCTGTTGATGTGATGTGATGTGTGATATGACTGTCATATGTTTCTGGAAGACTCAGCTCAAAAATTCCATACTTGATCTAAATATTTAGTGATGATACAATAAGCCACAGACCTGATGTGCACAGCCAATCTCTGCTTGGTCTTGAACTTGTTGCCGCAATGTTCGCACGTGAACTGCCTCCTCGGATCATGGACCCTCATGTGCACTTTCAGAGAGTGTGGATCGCTGCAACAGAATATCTAATTACCACTACGTTACGATCGTTCCGAGTTGAGACATCGAACTAATTGAATGATCGTGCAAATTTTATTTCAGACATTTCAGAATAACCCACGATGTGTAGACTTGTTACTAGGCCAGGTGCGCTTCGCCGGTGTTATTCGTGGTTTATCGTAGTAATATTATAAGGGGAAGGGGAAAGTTTGTATGGATGTATAGCTGTTTGTTACTCTTTCACGCAAAAGAGATAGATTATAATCTTAAATACTACTCTCCTTTTTTTTCAGGATAAAAAATAGCCTATGTGTTAATCCAGGGTCTACCTTCATTCCAAATTTTATTAAAAACTAGCTGGTGCCAGCGAATTTTTTTTTAAATTTTTTAGGGTTTTTCTGACAGGAAAAATAGCCTTAGTTAACCTTATGGACAGGTAGTAAAATATTGTCAAAATCGGTAGAGCCGTTTTGAAGATTACTCAGAACAGACAGACAGACAAAAATTAGTTAAACTGGTTTTTAGATATAGGCATCGTGCAAAGAACCGTGTGCGTGTGTTTACTAACCTTCTGAAACCTTATACGAAACAAGCTCAGACTAAATAGCTCTGCAGTATATTCATTCTAGTTCTACACAGTCATAGTCATACAGCGAGTAAACAAGTCAAATAGTAGCGAATAGTAAAATAATCTTCTGACTTGTCATACATACAATTACTCAGGCCGCTATTAAAGCCTTTGATTAAATCAGATGATTTGAACTAACCAAAAAACATTATTTCCCTTCCTCATACTCGAGAACAATTGTCAGCAATAGGGTATTACAACCATTTTGTTAAAAGTGTCTCACATTTATTCTATAGTGCTAATAAACCACTAATAATAATACAATGTTTTTTAATCGATAAGTGCCATAAAAATAAATTTTAACTTTTAAATTTCGCGAATTTTGACGGAAACGCTCGTAGACGCAGTGCTCTGTGGTCATGACGTCAGTTGGCTGTGTACACAAATATGATCAGTTGACTGTTGTCACCGACTCCTTTTAGTTAACAAAGCTGTATGACGTAATAACCTGGCGGCTACTATTTCATGGTGTTAAAAACAGATTAAAAACTGAAAACTGAATTGAATTTTATTATCAACAACAACCACCACCAACAGTCCACCGCTGAACATAGGCCTCTTCTTGTACAGCCACGCAGGCCAGACGGGTTTGTGTCAAGTTTTTCTTGTCTTTGCAGTGCTGTGTTCCTGCGTGGTTTGCTCTTTAGACGCCTCTAACGACACCCACTTGATAAATAGGGGTGGCGACCCTCCATATTCTTAATCCTCACGTACTCACTATAATTCCTCCCTATAATAAATAAAAAATAGTTACCTGAAAACCTTCGAACATGTCTCACAGCTGACGAACATGACGAGGCCCCCACACTTCTGTCTGTGCACGGTACAGTTGGACCACTTGCTGAACTGTGCTCCGCACACCATACACGAGAACAGTCGCCTGTGTGACAACATGTGCTGGGAAACCACCAACTGGTTCTTGAAGTGAAGTGAACAGACACTACACTTGTACTGGCCAGCGGCCTGGGAACACACAGGATATTACTGGATAGGACATTGCATGGCAAGTTATAGTACTTAAGCCAAAGCACACCCCAATTTCCCCAAACCTCAAGGATGTGCAAGTGTACGCACTGACCTCGGCACACTCGATCGACGAGGTGGAGGATATGTACGATGACATATCGAGGGCCCTCCACTTCACAACTAAGACCCACTACAACGCTAAAGTGGGAGGAGTACAGAATTGCGGTAAATCGGTAGTAGAATCTCATTGATTTGGAAGCAGGAATCATAGGGGGCAAATGCTGGTCAACTTCCTCGAACATTAGGGGCTCTTTTTGGTGAACTCTTTCTCTAAGAAACAGCCGCAAAGGAAGTGGACGTGGCAAAGCCCCGACGCTATGGCCAGAAATGAGATCGATTACATCATGACGGATAGAAAGAACATATTCAGAGACGTCTCGGTTTCGGTCTCAATAGGTTTAATACCGGTAGTGATCACCGATTTGTCCGGGGCTCTCTGAATATCAAGTTTAGGGCTGAATGTGTCTGTTTGATGAAATCCAGGCTCCGACCAACTCTGCTCCAAGCCATGACAGGATCTAAAACGTTAAAGTCAAAACTGGAATACCGATTCGCTGCCGTGGAAACCACAACCTACGTAAACCAGAACCTTAAAAATGTAGTTCGGATCCTCAGGGCAGAAGGTACGAGATTTTGTGAAATGCAGCGTAAGGGCAGGAAGTCGAAGCTTTCAGAAAGGACCCTAGGGCTGATGATGATGAAACGACGTGAAAACCCACCTATCACTTTGTCGGCAAAGCGGACTCTACACCGAGAGATCAGTACACTCGTACGACACGACCTCCGGTGCTCCAATACTCTTTCAATTTAAAGAGCGATCCAGCAGAATCGGGGGTCAAAAGTGTTCGTACAATCTCTTGGAAGAAGCGACTTGACAAAGTTGACCACAGCAAGTGGAGAAGTCGTTGCTTCGAAGCCGGCAGTTGTTTTGGAAGTGGAAAGCTTCTACGGCCGGTTATACGCTTCTCATGCATCTCGACCTGATCTCGAAAATGAGAACTCCAGAGCCACATTAACACGTCACTACACCGAAGACCTGCCAGAAGTTAGGATTGACGAAATCGAGATGGCTCATGGACAGCTAAGAAATGGAAAAACCCCTGGAGAGAGGATGGCGTTACAAAAGAGCGGCTAAAGGCCGGGGATAAACCCGTACTAAAGGAGCTCCAAAAGCTCTTCAACGCTGTCCTGTTTGAAGGCAGTACTCCGGAAGCGTGGAGTAGGAGTGTGGTCGTCTTGTTCTTCACGTGACAAGACCATGTTGAAAAACTATCTAAAAACCAAGCCACGTTTACAAGCTGTTTGACTCGACGAATGCCAACCACCGGAGCAAGCTGGATTTCGGAGTGGATATGGCACCATAGACAACATCCACACAGTGCGGCAGATTATACAGAAGACCGAAGAATATAATCAGCCCCTGTGTCTAGCATTCGTGGACTATGAAAAAGCCTTTGACTCGATCGAGATCTGGTCTGTTCGGGAGTCCCTGCAGGGTTGTCAAGTAGATTAGCGATACATCCAAGTGATGAAATGTCTCTACGAAGCCGCCACCATGTCCGTCCAAGTACAGAATCAGCCAACAATGCCCATACCGTTGCATCGAGGAGTGAGACAAGGGGACGTGATTTCCCCGAAATTGTTCACAAATGCAATGGAGGACATGTTCAAGCTGCACTGGAAAGGGCGTGGCATCAATATCTATGGCGAATACATCTCTCACTTGCGATTTGCAGACGACATCGTCATCATGGCAGAGACGTTGCAGGACTTACAGCAGATGCTGAATGACCTAGCTGACTCTTCTGTACGCATCGGCCTACGGATGAACTTGGATAAAACCAATGTCATGTTCAACGAACATGTACTACCGGAACCGATTGCGGTACACGGTGCCGTTCTCGAAGTTTTTCAAAATTATGTGTACCTCGGGCAGACATTGCAGTAAGGTAGAAATAACTTCGAGGACGAGGTGAACGAAAGAATTCAATTCAGTTGGGCAGTGTTTTGAAAGCTATGTCGAGTCTTTTCATCGTCTCTTCAGTGTCTTAAGATGAAAGTCTTCAATGAGTGCGTCCTACCCGTCATGACATACGGAGCCGAAACGTGGACGCTTACGCTACGGCTGGTCCACAAGTTCAAAGTCGCTCAACGTGCTATGGAAAGGGCTATACTCGGCGTTCCTCTAAGGGATCGCATCAGGAATGAGGTGATCCGGCAGAGAACCAAGGTCACTGACATAGCTTACCGGATCAGCAAGCTGAAGTGGCAGTGGGCTGGCCATGTTAGCCGCAGAACCGACAACCGTTGGAGAAAACGAGCTCTTTAGACTGCGTCTCGGCAAACGTAGTGTAGCCCATAGGCCAGGTGGAGTGACGATTTGCGCAAGATGGCTGCGAGAAGCCCAAAATCGATCTAAGTTGCGTGCAATGGGAGAGGCCTATGTCCAGCAGTGGACTGCGATAGGCTCATGCTGTCTCTCCGATTGGGGTGGGGGGGGGGGGGGGGAGGACGTGAAGACGGGTCAACCTGATGGTAAATACGTGAAGTTGCTCCTGTACGACTGAGACTATTCAAATTGAATCACTAATTATTTACCTCTGTATGTCTTGTCTGATGAGCTTCAAAATAATCATTTGTCAAAAAGCCAACTCCGCACAGATCACATTGGAACTTCATATTCTTATATTTTATTTTTTTTCTTTCCACCTCTTTGGTCTGTTCTTCTAAATTTAAATATTTGACTTCAAATTTCAACTCTTCAAGTTTCAAATCTATTCTATTTAGTTTTGATGATTTCTCATGTTGAATTTGTGGAGATTTTAATTTGTTTATATTTGTATTTTTTGTTCGTAAACCATTACCTTTTAGCTGGCTTTCATTTAATTCCACGATAAGTGGACTTTCATTTTCATTTTGGTATTCTAATTCATCATTTAAAAAATCTATTTTGTGATTGCTTTCTTTGGCTAAATACAATTCTTTTTCTAAACATGTCAAGTTAACACTTTTTACATAAATTACATTTTCATTGACTTGTTTTGTAGTTTGGGTTTCTTCTTGTATTTCACCGTCTTTATAAAAATTTATGATATGATTATTTTTCATGTCTTTGGTGTTTGAAGGAATGTCTGTATGTGTAACTGTACTGAGTGAAAATCTGTGTGAATGTTTGTTTGTACTAATTGTTGAGACCTGTAATAATAAAAGATATAAGAGGCAAACAAGTACATGGGTCTCCTGATTGATAAAAAATGTCTTACTGGTTTTATTTTTATTTAACAAGAATTCACACACTTATTGGGTATCCATATGTTCTAAAGAATATGAGAACAAATTATAGCATTGCTATAATCAGCACTCTTACCTCATCACGTGCACGAATCATTTTTTCAGTTTTAAATGCTAGATTTTTTAAATATATTGTCTTCTTTAATATTGTTTTACACCACATACAAAGAACGAGGTCCTTATACTCGTATTGCTGAAAAATTTTCAAACATCTATAAATAACGGTTACATAGCCTATTTATATTTTATTGTCAGTATTTCAGTTTCACCTACTTTATTGTTTGTAAGTTGAATGAAAATATCACTGTATTCCCTTGCGTCTGAGATATTATCATCATTGTTATTTGTCAAACAAATACAGCACCATTTAATATTGTTTAAAGGCATTCTTAGAAGATTAATTACAAATCTAAACTGTAAAAAGATGTGTTATAAGTTTAATTGTTTACCAACAGTCATAGATAATACACTAAAGCGACACCTGCGACACGACTATATAAAACAGTACATAGCTGTCATTCTTTTTTTTTTGTATATGGCAAACTGTGCCGATGTTGACAATTCTGTCAAAGTTTTGTGCCAAATGTGTGATGAAGATGCATGTGTTTGTAGAACCGTAGAGGGACAAAACATAACCTCTGAAGGACATCATTCACTGCACTGAATGTGATCTTTTGGCCCTTACCTTAGCTTGCTACATTACAGTAATTTGTGGTCCTTACCACATAGTATTAATATCCCGGTTGACAGATTCCGTAAAAAAGTAATGTTATCATTAACAAGAGGATATTTTACATTATCTCATAGATTTGGTCTGAGATTATAAACATATTTTAAACGAAAGTAGCGTGGATGTTACGAAATAGCTAATTATCTAAAACATAGTTAACGGCTCATTGTCTGTTTTTTTAAGCTATTGCATAGCTTCTATCGAGGGCCTTGAGCGCGGGGACCGAATACAGAAATTCCGTAATGAAAAAAAACCTCACGCTCACGGCCGTGCATTGTCTAACGTCGTTTCTTTTCGGCAGTCTTCGACACGGTGTTTGTGTGCGTGCAACTAGCCGTATTGTACGACTCTACGAAGCTCGCAGATCGAGACGAGCTGCTCCGAAATCGGACGAATACATAAGCAACTGTTTATGAGAAAGTATATAGGTGTATAGGTATTTATGTACAACAGTGAATAGCTGTACTTGTAAAATTTGTGTATAAAGTGTTTTGAATATGAATGAACAAAGTGCATTTATTATTAACTAGCTGACCCGGCGAACTCTGTTCCGCCTTAAAGGCAATAAATAAGCCGATTTTCGAATTTAGTAAGTTAATTTATTTCTTAGAAAAAAAAATGAAGTACATTAATCATTTATTATTGTTTCTGCATTTCAGTACATAGGTTGCTCTTCACTTAAGTACCTTGTGATACACGACATTTTTTGTTTTCTTATCAGGCGCAAAAACACACAACGCAGATGGTCTTCCGACCAATACTCAACGTTGCAATGTGTCTTTAACGTTTTAGAAATAAGTGGCGAATATGGAACAATCTAATTGTTGTTGACAACGAAATCCATTCTTTTCACTTTTGTTGTGACAGTTCCACCGTTGTCATCTGGTGATCGACGCCGATACAAAAAAAAAAAGGAATAAATAGTATCCTATGTCCGTCTCCTGGCTCTGAGCTACCTCCTCACCAATTTTCAGCCATATCGGTAAAGCCGTTCTTGAGTTATAAATAGTGTAACTAACACGACTTTCTTTTATATATATAGATGAAGAAAGTCACGAAATTGCATAAGTTGATACAAAATGCTAAGCAATAGCTTTACCGCGGCAGTCCCCGAGTGCCACACATCTTTTTTTCTTATGTTATGTTGCACTAAATATAAATAATATTTTTATTTTTACGCCAACAGCAGTTCTAAACGTCATTAACAAGCCTTTTTTTGGTGATTCAGAAATACAAATGGAAAAAAAAATACCAATTATTATGAGTATTAATTCTAAACAAATGGCAAGCTATATTAATCTAATCTCTACATTTTCATAATTTAGTGATACCTCTTCTATTAGTAATTTATGCTAGTTATTTTAGTAGGTTACTTAAAATTCAAAAATCAAAGTCAATCAAAATCAAACATCTACGAGGGCGGGTCAATAAGTCCGTGACTTTTGGAAGAAAACACAGATTTTTTGATAAATAAATCATTTTATTTTTCAACGTAGTCTCCCTTGAGCTCTATACACTTTGTCCAACGCTTCTCCAATTTTTTTATCCCTTCCAAAAAATATGATTTGTCGAGGTCCTCAAAATAGGCCTTTGTTTGCGAGATGACTTCATCATTGAAGTCAAATCTTTTTCCACCAAGCCATTTCTTCAGGTTTGGGAACAAGAAGTAGTCACTCGGAGCCAAATCTGGAGAATAGGGCGGATGAGGGAGCAATTCATAGCCCAATTCATGGATTTTTGCCATGGCAACTGCACATGTGTGCACCCTTGCATTGTCTTGGTGGAAAAGAACTTTTTTCTTGGCCAAATGAGGTCGGTTTTTTTTCAAATCGTCATTGAATCGGTCCAATAAGTTGGCATAATATTCCGCATTGATTGTTCTTCCCTTTTGAAGGTAGTCAATGTGGATTATCCCTCGTGCATCCCAAAAGACAGTCGCCATAACTTTATTGGCTGACAAACCCACCTTGGCCTTCTTTGGCGCCGATTCACCCTTAGACACCCACTGTTTTGACTGTTGTTTGGTCTCTGGTGTGTTGTGATGGATCCATGTTTCGTACACGGTTACAAAACGGCGCAAAAACTCCTCCATATTGCGATTAAACAGCGCCAAACCTTCCTGTGAAGTTGTTACAAGATTGCGTTTGTGGTCGACTGTGAGCAATCGCGGCACCCATCTTGCGGAAAGCTTTCTCATGCCCAAGTGATCATTCAAAATTGAAACCACTGAGCCATGCGAGATCCCTACGGCTTCCACAATCTCTTGCACTTTCAATCTTCGGTCGGCCAACACCATATCGTGAATTTTTTCGATTGTTTCGGGTGAAGAGACCTGAACTGGGCGTCCAGGACGTTCGGCATCTTCAGTGCTTGTACGGCCACAACGAAATTCAGTAAACCACTTTTTTACCATTGAAATCGATGGTGCAGAGTTCCCATAGTATTTATCAAGCTTAGCCTTGGTTTCGGTAATGGTTTTTTTTCGCAAAAAATAATACATAATAGGCACACGAAATTCACTTTTTTACATTTTTTCCTCAAATTACTGGGTAGTCTGATAAAGATAGCTGTCAAACACAAACTAACTGACGCAGCAAATTCAAATTTTGACAGGAGTCAACTGACAGATGCCTGTTGACAGGAGTAGTGTTGCTTTTTCAGTAAAGAGGTCAGAAATTCAAAAAGTCACGGACTTATTGACCCGCCCTCGTATCAATTTACTCTGTGCTTGCTTGGTTTAGACCACAGATTAACCGCTCGTATGCCCCTGTCATGGCGCCCGCGGCGTCCAGAGTGCCCGCGACTCGCGAGCGAGACCGTCTAGATTGCCCCGGCACAAATACCGACCACCCGTAAAGTGCCCCACTGTTTTTTGCGTTATCGACGCGCGCGCCGTGCTCCACTTAATCGGTTCTTGTGACTAAAGTTTGTATTGAAAGGGTGTCAAGTGTTATATTTATTTAGTTGCCTATGAAATTAGCTAAACAATGTTATCTTTCTATTTACAGATTACGGCTCTGGTGTTGAGTTACACTGTGTTGAAATTGAGATAACGTCTTTTTAAGCTCGTGTTGCACTTCGAAGCTCATAGTTCAAAAATGAAAGCGATGACCTATGGTTTTTAATGTTTAATTATGTTGTTTAGATAGTAGTTAATATGTTATGAAATAAAACCATATACTCTCCCATACATATTTATTTATTTACAGGCCTCTAAATCCTTACCATTATCGGCCGCCACGCGGCATAATTTATGTAAGACTTAACAAGGCATATCGTACACAAATATCATTGTTAGGAATATAAATAAGGTATAACTATATAAGTAGTCTTATATTCTTTTATTACAATCAAAAACAATAGGGATAACATACACCACTTTTGAATAATATGAACATTTCTGAAACAGTTCCCATGCTCTCAGTAACATAACTTAGTTTTCCAGATGTTTTTTGTTCTACATACTAAACAAAACAAAAATAACATTAACATTGCCTTATAATACATTTAAAACTTTAAATTTCACCAACACACAAAATAATATCACAAAGAAATTCCAACACAGTCACTGCACGGAACGATTCGAAGACTGATGAAATGACAGAAGTTTTATGACGTATAATTCTTTTTTTTACTAGTGTTTGCATGCTCGACTGAGATTAATACCATAGATAATATATCAGACTATAGAAAAAATATTACTAAAGAGCATTATGTCAATACAATTACTGTCAAATACTAATTAATCTGTGGCAGGAGCCATGTAGACTACCGGTCTACACGGGCACTTTACGGTTTTATTTTTGTAGACTACTAGTCTACACGGGCACTTTCCGTTTTTATTTTTGTAGACTGCTAGTCTACACGGGCACTTTAGGATTTCGTTTTTGTAGACCACTAGTCTACATGGGCATACAAGCGGTTAAAAGAAATGTTTGTATGTATTGTATGTAGTTATCTGTGCATTACACTGAAATCTTGAATCAATTGAATTGAATAGTGCATTCATTCAACTGTTTTTGTTGACTAGGTTTACGCGTACAGATATTTAAATGAAAGCAACATGGAAATTGGAGAAATAATTATTTGCGCAACATGTATGAGTGGTGATCGACGCCTTGTACCTTTACATACAATGAGAAATATTTTAAAAGAAATTAATTTTACAAGCGTGAGTATATTATTATGTACTAATATAATTTGAAATAAATAAACAGTAGTAAAATGTTATAAATGTTACGTATTTCCAGCTAGATATGTGCAATAACACCAGCATTTGTTGGGAGTGTAAGGGCCACATATTAAAGTTTTACAGATTTAAAATTAAAGCTTTACATGCACAAACTGCAATGTCTCAGAATTGGAAGGTATGTATTTTTTTTTATTTCTTTTACGTTAACATTCTACCGTGACTGAACTTTATTTAACTGACTGAACTAGTATTTAATAAAACTTTATCAAATCTCACAACTTACAGTTCCAGATACAAACAAATTATTTAGATTTATTATCCCTACTAATATTATAAATGTAAATGCAAGTAACTCTGTCTGTTTGTCTGCTGTGGCTAAACTGGTGAACCAATTTGAAGGAAAATTTTACATATAGATACTATGATTCTTGAGAATGGACATAGGCTACTTTTTACCGCTATACCGGACACACCGCAGGCATTACCACTGCCAAAAGCTAGTATTTTTAGAAATTAGTTTTTGTTTTTGAACAACACCCACATTAGAAATATATCCTGTTGCACATAGAACACCCAGACTCAGAAGAACAATTTATTACACATATCATCATCATCATCAATAGCCTTTACTAGTCCACTGCTGGACAATGCTGCTTGCTCCCTTATTAGGCTCTTACGACACACATGGGATGAACAGGGGTGGTGACACTCCGTATTCATAATCTGTCACCACATGGACACATCATATGCAACTTCTATAAGGCTCACTGGTTTTTGTTTATCTATTCTAATACTATTCCAGCTTAAAGAGTTAAAATCCTTAAGCAGTTTGGTGATACGTGAAATCAGTAATAATTACCAACATTGTTACAATATAGATCCTTTAGTCAACTGTGATAATGAACCAAAACTAGAAAATAATATTATTAAAGAAGAAGAAGATGATACAAGGGAGTCATCAGAAGTGAATGGAAAAATAATAGAAACAGACGAGAGTATTTCACATATCTACGTAGACAATATTAGTGATAAGGAAAAATTTAATAATGAAAATGAAAACATTCTAGAAAATGATGAAAAAATTTATGAAACAATAGAAGAAAATCATAATTTCAATGATGAAAACAAATTAGAAATTAATGAAACAGATGCAGAAATAAATACAACAGAAAATAATGATGCAGTTAGTGCTGTAAAGAAAGGAACTATTGCTACAAGACCTAAAATGGATGCAGAACTTCAGGAAAAGTTCATAAGAGTAGAGTTTAGTGAAGAAGAGATTATACAACACAGAGAAAATAAGAGAAACCATTATAATTTTAAGAAGGTACCATTTAAATGTAACTCTTGTGTGCTTGGGTTTACTAGAAAAGAGACTTTTGATAAGCATATGGCGAAGAAACATGACGAGGTATTGTTTTATTTTATTGTTACAAACTTAAACATGACTTGTAACTTGGTAAATATTTGGAAAATAACATTTTATCAAAACAGTGGCTCACGCTGATGTTGTTTCTGTAAATTCTTATTTATTACTCTAATTTCTGTATACCTATTACCAGTTCAAAATGAATCCAGTCCATTCAAGGTTGCCTGGAAGAAATTGCTCTAAGCGATAAGGCCGCCCTTTGTACATTACATTTGTTGGTTGTTTAATTACTTTATAATGTCAAAACCCTGGTGTACAAATAAAGTATTCCCCTATGTCCCCTTTGTGCTCCCGAAAGGGCTCGCGCCCTACGCCTAAGCCTAACTTGCTTGCAGAAGGAGACGGCGGAGTTCCACGAACTCTCGCTCCGTACCATGGCGGCAATGATGTTACCGAGCGAGAGAATTCCCACTCCGATGGCCGCCATGAGGCAACGCCTCTGCTCCAATATTATAGATAAATTACAGCCAGACGCAGAACAAATGATCATGCTCATCACACAATATTTGTCCTGGGTGGGAATCGAACCCACGACCTCCGGCTTAGCAGTCAGGGTACTAACCACTAGACCAACAGGCCCGTCAAAATTTCCCTTGAAAGTGTCGAAACATTCGTTTTTTTTGCGGCATAAACGGCCGTTTCATTTTTTACGTTAACTTAGGAGTTCGATTATTTTACAGCTTCAAGGGACTGTAGACCTGAATATATAAGGGTTCCGTTATTTTCATTTTGAGTTGGCGGAACCCTAAAAAGGTAGATTATAAAATGTTTTTTCCAGACTAGTTACAGTCAGATAAAAACATAGTTAAAAAAAGTACATACTATAAAGGTATCCCAGAAATCAAGTCCAAGCCGGTAAAGGTCGATAGGCCAAGTCGTGACTGTGTGTTGTGACTACAAAAATTAAGTTTGTCTGTATGTAAATTAGCCCATCGTACATGTTGTTTCAGAGCATAGGTCCCCATAAATGCGATATTTGTGAAGTACGTTTCGCGTCAAAGATGTCAGTGGCGAACCACAGGCTGCGCCACTACTCCTGCTACAGATGTAGGCTGTGCAAGTATGACACCACAGAGCTTTGGTCTGCGCTCAACCATTGTAAGATGAAACATAAACGGGACCGTCTTGACAGCATACATTGTACACAGTGTGATACAGTTGTTAAGTAAGTACTTTAATAAAAAGAGTGTGTCGTATGGCGGAACACCCGATAGGAATGATCTATTTGACAAATATTTCATTTGTAATTCTGGCCAAGGGAATATAAATATAAAAAATCCTTCTTAAAAAAAGTTGAACCGACTTCAAACAATACTAACAAAGAACACTAAAAACCTAGCAGCAATTGCGGTCGATTTGCTGTCATTTTTTTAAAGAACTAGCTGGTACCCGCGACATCGTTCGCGGAAAATTTGAGAAGCGCTGCCTTAGTGCATGAGATCTCGGGTTCGATTCCCGGACCGGGTAAAATGTTTATAGTTACTCCTTATATAGACAGCTACCTGGTACTAAAATATTATCAAAATCAGTCCAGCCGTTTTAAAGATTACCCGGAACAAACAGACAGACACATAAACACAAAACTGGTTTAGAGGCATGGTATCGTGCAAATAACCGTGTAAGCATGAAGAAAACCTATTATTTTGACATTACCAACAGACACTTCAATTTTATTTATTTGTATAGAAGATTCCGCTGTCTGTCTCCAAAACTCATCCCGTGGGTGTCGTAAGAACCGACTAAGGGAGCAAACTATGCAGGACAGCAATACTGCAAAGAGAAGGAAAACTTGACACAAACCCTGTACCAACCCGTCTGAAACAAAACCTCCTTTCTAAGGAGAGGCCTATGTCCGGCAGTAAACTATTATAGGGGAGGAAATTAGAGTGTCTGTTTGTAATATTAAAATAACCGCTTTTTACTAAATGCATATGTACGTTTACATTTTTTTCAATTTTTGTCTGTCTGTCTGTCTGTTTGTTCCGGGTAATCTCTGGAACGGCTGGACCGATTTTGACGGGAGTTTCACTGGCAGATAGCTGATGACATAAAGAGTAACTTAGGCTAGTTTTTTTAGACTAGCTTCGCCCCGCGGCGTTGCCCGCGGTTATAACAACAAACGCGGGTAACACCGCAGGTGAGACCTGCTATTGCTAGTTTAGAATAAACCCCTTTCGAACAAAAAAAGAATTTTGAAAATCCGTCAATATATTACGGATTTTCAATGCCCGAGCATGCATAAAATATATATACACGGTGAATTTTTAGGCGTTTTGGAAACGAAACATTTTAATTTGGAATCATCTATAGTACCAATAAAAATGATTAAATCAATTGTAATGTTGTCTAAAAAAAAGTTTCAGTTTTAATATTCATTTTTACTCGATCGACTTGGAAAGTAGTAATGGACTGATCATTCATTCATTATCTTATATGAATGAAACACGTCCATGGGCGTTTCGGCGGCCGCTGCGCACCGCTGACGCTAACAGCAGCTGATAAAAGTATACCTATAGGCGCGAGCTAGCGAGTACTTACGTAGATAGACTCCAATTTGTCCTTCATACTTTACACGGGCTTAGGATCGTCGGAAATACCTATTTTATTTAAACTTCTTTTCGATTATTAACCACGATTGTTCTTTTCACAACAAATCAATTTATCAACGGACTGTAGGTATAAATATTTCAAGCGTATTAAAAAAATCGGAGTTATTATAATATATTAATTAACTTACATACCTATTTACACTATTTACACATCTCTGTATCGAAGCAACTGCTCAAAATGGAGTCCGCTGCATTCAATACACAAACGTCCACGTTTAATGCAATTGTTTTTTAATTTTCTTAATGTGTCTCTATCACTTTTCACTTTATCAAAAGCGTCCACTATCGCAATGCGTAAATTATCACGGCTTTCATATTCCCGTGTATAAACAAGTATTTTTATTTCCGACCATAAGAAAAAATCCAGGGGCGTTAAGTCCGGGCTTCTAGGTGGCCAAGGCACTGGCCCTCCTCGACCTATCCACCGATCACTAAACTCATTGTCCAGGTATGCACGCACTACACTCCGGCGAATAATAATTTAAACGTCCTTGACCTTGCGCGTGAGTATAGTATTTCTATTCGTAGTATTTACCTACTTGCGATTGAAAAGCCCTACTACTGGTTCTCACCTTTTCTCTGTAATCGATATGAATATCGACTTTGATGATAAAAAATATATATATTTTATTAAATTAACGTTATATATAGCTTCTGTTACTGATAAATAACTCAAAATTTTCTTTTCCAAAACGCTTTCAAAATCACCGTGTATAAGCATCCGAATTGATAACCTCCTCCTTTTGACGTGACAACGTCTTATAAATTGGTTTGCCGGGTGACACTTCAAGAAACTGCGTTACGCTCCGCTCACGTTATGCGCTCACAATGAGAGCGAGTGAGAGGCACGCGTCGTTAATATGAAATTCAGTGCGAGATTCTTTGTATAAATTAATGTTTTAAATATAATTCTTTGTATAAATAAATGTTTTAAATTGTTACTATTATTTCATCCTTCTTCCTACTATACGAATGAATATTCACATTAAAATTATTTTACCACTCAAAGTCGTTGTCACGTAAAACTTTCGCCCGTATACCGACTTTACAGGCAACCAATTTTTTTTAAGTCGGTTAAAGCGACAAATGAAAAACAGATTTAAATTGTTCTCTAATGTGTTCGATAGTGTTGCCCGTGTAGTGACAGATTAAGAATACGGAATGTCACTACCCCAATTCATCCCGTGGGTGTCGTATGAGCCGACTAAGGGCGCAAAACAACGCAGGACACCAGCACTGCGAAAAGAAGGAAAACTTGACACAAACCCTATACCAACCCGTCTGGCCAGCGTGGTATAGTAGGCCAAAACCTCCTTTCTAAGGAGAGGCCTATGTCCAGTAGTGGACTATTAAAGGCTGTTGATGTGATGTTGATGTGTGTTCGATAGGCTTCTTCTTTAGGAAAGTCATATCGTGTGTACTATCTCGCGTCGATCTATGTTCCAGGACAGCTGAGGAGTTGGAGGAGCACATACAGTTGGAGCACAGTCTCCATTGTAACGAGTGTGGCGTCAGGTTCAAGGGGAAGAATACTTTGAGGAATCATATGAAAAGGGGGTAAATTTCCCAAAATCCTATCTTAGTAGGTACTTACTATATACGAGGGCTGCAATTTATGTGTCCGGAATAACAAAGTGAAACAAACATATAGCATTTATGCTAGTTGTGAAGCACTTTTGCATACGTTGGAACCAATTTTCGTAGCACTTTTGCCATTCTAATTGTGGTATCTCCAAAACGTGCATTTTGAACGCATCAACAGTCGCTTCACGGCTCGAAAAACGTTGACCACTAAATTACGTGGTCAGCGTAGGACGTTTCTTTTTGCCAAATTTCGTGATTCTAGGTCAACCGGAAGTACCCTATAGGTTTTGGGTCGGTACAGTACAAATAAAAGAATGAAAAAAAGTTGAAGAAATAAAAATTACAAATTTTCGCGAAAACCTACGTAAAATCTTTATAGGTAAGGAACCCTCGGCGCACGAGTTCGACTCGTACCTGATCGGTTTTTTAATATTGTTCTGTGACTGGCCAGTTCCGGATACATAAATAGCAGCCCTCGTAGAATGCATCAGCTGCCCAAATACCAGGGGTTTAGGCTCTGTGTTGATGCAACAGTCAGTCCGTCGGCAAATCATTTTACTGGCTTGAGTGACATCAAAAAAACGATTTCTGCTTATCAGTCACGATTTGCCTCGGTGGTGTAGTGATAGTGTACTATGCTGAGGTCTTGGGTTCGGATCAAATGTTTGTACGATCTATTTGATTCGGAGTAATCTAGTCTAATCTATGTCTTATTTGATCGTATTTGTTTTTTTGACCCGTCTGCTCGTCTGCTGCTGCACCTCTAACATAAAAAAAAAATAGTACTGGCTCTGCTTAGTTTGAAACTACTTGACCCGCGGTGTTACCCGCGTTTGTTGTTATAACCGCGGGCAACGCCGCGGGGCGAAGCTAGTCTTAAAAAAGTAGCCTAAGTTACTCCTTTTGTCATCAGCTATCTGCCAGTGAAAGGCCCGTCGAAATCGGTCCAGCCGTTCCAGAGATTACCCGGAACAAACAGACAGACAGACAGACAAAAATTGTAAAAAATGTTATTTTGGCATATGTACCGTGTAAACATACATATGCATTTAGTAAAAAGCGGTTATTTTAATATTACAAACAGTCACTCCAATTTTATTTATTTGTATAGATATAGATTATTATAGATAATTGAAGACCAACAAATATGCTGATCCGTTTTGGTAGTGATAATATTTTCCATTTATTAAATCTAAATAAGCTTTAATCCGAATATTGCAACCCTTGTGTAATAAATTCTCTAATTTATGGCACACAGAAAGACAAACAGACACTCCAATTTTATTTATTTGTATAGCTTATTTAGTTATTTATCTTTACCCAACTGGCTAGTCACCTAGGCAATTAAATATTCTGCTATCTCTTTCTGACTTGCAGTCTCCACTCTAGCGTCGTCACCGACAAGAGAAACTATATATGCGACGTTTGTACGAGGACATTCGTGACCAAGAGTCGGCTGGAGAGTCACATGGCGGGCCACAACACCTCCCTGGCTAAGAAACTGTCTTACTGTCACGCGTGCAAAGTGCAGTACAAGAATATTTATGTGTATAGGAACCACCTCAAAAATAGCACCAACCATTCTGAAAGAGCGTATGTATTTTAATATGATATTATTTGTTTTTTTTTTTTAACAATTCCCGCATTAGGAATATGTTCTGTGTCGCCGGGGTACTTTACAAACATACATAAAACGGACACAATACATCCAGACTTAGAACAATAATTTGTGGATCATACAAAGTGTTGTCCCATGTGGGGATCGAATCCACAACACTCAGTGCAGTAGGAGGCGGCGAAATGACCGCTTAAACTACTGCGCCATCCGAGCAGTCAATAATAATAATAATAACTACTATTAGTGTCTACTATTTTTTGTATTTTTAAATGTATTTTTTATTTCTTTTGTAATATATTTAAAAATGTAATTAATATGTAAATATAATTTAATAAAGAGAATATTAATAATAATTTCACACATCTCCCGCCCGAGTCAGCGGGAGAGGAGATTTGGGCTCCGGTAACCTCACTCACTCAGTGAAAGGCAACGAAAGAATTGCTTAAAACCGATTATCTGTGAAGCTGTGGTATCACTATTTAATGGTGTAATAGCGTTAAACGATGTAAATCGTTGACCGCGCGCAATGTGATATAGCGTGGCTTGTATCGATTCGTAGATCGTACACTTCTGGCATTAAATCTTTTGTACTTACCCATAGGCCAATGGACGTATCATCACCTCATCACCATACCATTATCATCATCTATATATAGATATGGGATTGTTTTAGCTTCTCGTGTCCAGAGTGCAACAAAAAGTTCGCATCCAAAGTGTACTGGACGAGGCATTACAACTTCTACCATTTGCACAAGTCACAATATAACTGCGAGATATGTAATAAGGTCGGTATGTCCATACATCAACTGCCTTTAATAGTCCACTGCTGGACATTGGCCTACTTTTTAGAAAGGAGGTTTTGGCCTACTATACCACGCAAGGCAGACGGGTCATATAAGGTTCAAGTTTGTTAAACCTAACCTTTTGTATTAATTCATTTAGTACTTTCTATCAACAGCTTTTCGACATACACGAGGTTAAAAACTGCGTGAGGGGTCTATGGACCCCTGGTCGGAACAAAGTTTCTTTCGCTTTTTGGTAGACGTTCGCTATACAATCATTGTAATTGGAACGAAGTTCCTTATCGCGCGTTGTGAAAGGGGGCTAGACGGAAAAAATCTCACGAAAAGTTGTAACGACACTTTTTATTTTGAATTGTCACTTGTCAGTCATTCAGCGCCATCTATCGAATAGATAGGAAATCATTACTTTTCATCTCAGTAAAATTAAAATTTATGTTCTTAGGTTGAGCAAAAAATATTGTATTCGATATCATTCAAGGAGATTTTATCAATGTATAAATTGTTTTAATTAGAAACCAACTGCAAAATCAGTGTCGAAAAAAATTCGTGTCGAATCAGTTTTACTCGATCGTCACAACTTCGTTCCTATCGGGTGTCCCACGACACCACACGGCTTTTTTTATATTATAAAATATCTAGTTAATAGAGTTAAATTGAACGAAGAGAGGAGAGCCGTCGAGTGTTTCGGCGCGCGGGAAATCTGTGTGCGGCGATGTATATAGTTCATATACGACTGTAATTATAGCAAGAAGTGCCGGCAAACAGTCTTGTAACACATCTTTTTTCACTCCAGCTCTGAGCGGATGGAACCGAGACCGAAAAATGTGTGACAAGACTTTTTGCCGACACTTCTGTTGGCGCGTCGACGCTCACATCTTTTTCATATTTCATATATATATAGCAAACGTCTACCAAAACGCGAAAGGAACTCCGACCGGGAGTCCATAGACCTCCCACTTCGTTTTCATGGTACAAGGGGGCATTCGAGCAAACGGGTCTCCCACGACTTGTTTCTACAACAATTATTTATTAATAATAATATCTCACAAAACTTGGCAGAGCCTGTGCTATGGTAACCAGACTGCTGATAAACATACTTACATATTTTTAAAAACGTACATATATACCCAGACACAGAACAAATGACTGTACTTATCAAACAATTATTTGTCCTTAGTGGGAATCGAACCTACTACCTCCGCCTTAGCAGTCAGGGTCACTGACCACTAGACCAATAGGCCCGTCGATATAAAACTAATAAAATCATCTTAAATAAACAAGTGGTGTGTTTCAGCTGTTCATATCGGACTGGCGGCTGAAGAACCATCGCCAGAAACACCACGGCCTGTCCCGGCCGAGGAACCACCCTTGCACCACTTGTGGCAAGAAGTTCTTTGTGAGTTATTCTGCAATGTTTTTGATCACACCTTGTCAAATCTGAAATCTACGGTGTAGGAATGCCAATAACAAGGTTAGATGATCTTATAAAGATCACAGGTCCTCGGTGGATGCAAGCAACTTCTTCGGAAGTCAATGAGGCAGGCCTGTCCTTAAAGTGGACGTCTTATTGACAATTTGGACTATACCAAATTTCATCTAAATCGATCCGACGGTTTAAGCATGGAGAGTTAACAGACAGACGGACACACTTGCCTTTAAATTGAGACAAGTATGGATTTCTACAAAATAATTTCGATGTTTTACATGTGCCAGACGTACCGCGATGGCTCAATTTTTTGAAGTCGGTTATAAAGAACAGAGAAACGATGAGCTTAATATATGCTTTCTAATTCATTCATTCATTTATTCATTCGTTCATTTCTAATGTTATTTGCCAGCTGGTTAACTCCTTCGTCTATATATTGCAAAACTATTTGTCATATTTTGATTTTACTTTTTTTCTATTCACTCTTGCAAATTTTATAATATCTATACAAATAAATAAAATTGAAGTGTATGTGTGTAATGTCAAAATAATAGGTTTTTTTCATGCTCGTGCGGTTATTTGCGCGATACCTATGCCTAAAACCAGTTAAAATATTTTTTGTCTGTCTGTCTGTTTGTCCCGGGCAATCTTCACATCGGATTGACCGATTTCGATAACATTTTACTAACAGCTAATTGTCTATATAAGAAGTAACTTAGGCTATTGCTCTTAGAAAAACTATAAAATTTTGCCCGGTCCGGGAATCGACCTGATAAGTCAGCGCTTTTCAAATTCCACATGAACTAAGTCGCGGGTACCAGCTAGTAGTAATAATATAAGTAATCAAGTTTTATATTAGCTTTAGTAATAAGCTTTATATAAGAATCTAATGACAATAAGATGTAAATCATATACAAAATGTAACAAAGACCTTATTCTGCAAATAAATTTTGTTATAATTATTTGTTATTTCAGTCTATCACAACACTACGGAACCACAAGCTAATTCACTCGGAGCAGAGGAGCTACATGTGCGAGGACTGCGGCGACACTTTCAAACAGCGGCCGGCGCTGTACACGCACGCCAAACTTGTGCACGGCGACGGGCGACGGAAATAGTTGCGCCACTGTTGGGCAACTGATAATAAAACTATATATGTATTGTGGTGTACTTACTTCCTTCATCGCTGATCTTTTCATTAAGTAATATTGTTGTGGATGAATCATTAAAAGTTGAGCAACTGTTGGGCAACAGTCTGTCGACTTGTGGTTGAAGGTCTGGGTACTTGAAGTAACTCGTTTGAAGTCAATGGCTTATAGTCTAAAGAGCTGTTCTTCTGCATACATGGGCCGGCTCGACCAGAGCGATACAACGGCCTCACAGAAAAACTGGTGTTAAGCATTTTTTTTATTTGCATTTAACCTAATGAGTGAATTTACCGAAGCTCAAAATCCTACACCCCCCCAAGTTGGGTAGTAGTCTTAGTTTCTTGAGATGTCCATGGGCGGCGGTAGTCACTTTCCATCAGGTGACGTGTCTTGTTATTTGCCCCTCTTCCATAAAAGAACAATGTGTGTGTCAGCTCCGACGCACCACTCGAGTTTACTCCTTAGAAACGCATACCTATGGACTAAATCTCTGCACACAAATGATCAGCGCCATTTATGTAAATGGTAGTAAAATAATTAGAAGTCATGTATTTATTTTGGGGTTTATAACCTTTTTAAAATAATTTAAATCTTGTAGAGGACTTCTCACTAAAGTGAAACAAATTGCAATCATAGAACTAATAACAAACTCACAAAACATATTATTAAATGAATCGCCATCTATAAATTACATTTAGAACTAAATAAAAAGTCGTGTGGCACTCGGGGACTGCCGCGGTTAAGCTATTGCATAGCATTTTTTATCAACTTATGCAATTATAATTTTTATTAATTTTTTATTTATGCAGTAATTTTTTTTCTTTGATATTAATTTAAGTTTTTTCTATTCCACGCGAACGAATTCGCGGGTACCAGCTAGTATTAAATAATTATCTCAGGAAAAGCCTATAGAATTTTGCCCGGCTCAGGAATCGAACCCACTAAGGCAGCGTTTCAAATTCCACGCAAACAAAGTCGCGGGTATCAGCTACAAATCTGTAGGGACCAGATTGTTCGTCTCCTTTTCCCGGTTCAGACAAACCCAAACATGGGGGTCCAAGTGCTCCAGGAACAGAGAAAATCAAAGGGGGGATAAATGAAAAAAGTTGAGGGGAGAGGGGGGAGGTATTTTGTGGGGACCTCAATGTAATCATAAAAAAAAAGTCATCCCTCGAAAATACCCCCCCTTTCGGCCCTCTTTAGAAGAACAGACTGAAGTGTTGTTACATGTTACGATGCTTTTCAAAAAAAATATCTGTAGGGGCCAGATTGTTCCTCTCCTTTTCCCGGTTCAGACGAACCCAAACATAAGGGGTCCAAGTGCTCCAGGAACCGAGAAAATCAAATGGGAGATAAATTAAAAAAGTTGAGGGGAGAGGGGGGAGGTCTTTGTAATGTCAAAATGATAGTTTTTTTTCATGCTCACACCGTTATTTGCACGATACCTATACCTAAAAACTAGTTTAAATATTTTTAGTCTGTCTGTCTGTCTGTTTGTTCCGGGTAATCTACAAAACGGCTTGACCGATTTTGATAATATTTTACTACCAGGTATCTGTCTCGAAAAGAAAAGAAAAAAACTAGAGAACAAATTGTATTTCTTTTTAGTTTGTAGCTGCGACAAATACAGTTGAAAATCGATCTCTGTAGGCTTAGCCACCCACCTATTACGAAATAAAAGTAAGTAACACTTAAGTTATGGTAAGCACAGATTAAGAGATAGGTACATATGGTAAGTAAACAATTTTGTAATCTAATTTATAAGGAGTTAGCGAAAAAAGTGGGTAGCTTTAAAGGTCGCGACTATATTTTTCATTAACGATAACACTTTAACAAACTTATTTAACTTCAAATCCAACAGTATTTGAAAACAAGTGATTATTTTGAACTATATTATACCTATCTATTTTGCATTCCTTTAACTTGAGATCAAAACAAATTTGTGTCGATTTCCATGTACCTCCTAAATAGGAAACCACACTACGTTTCAACATTCACTAGTAATGTGCAAAATCGACTATTTTTGACTATTTCTATACTTGTATACTCCTTAAAAAAGTAATTGGATGAGACTACTGTATTTTTTTTAAATAGTTTATCCTTGGAAACTTTCCTGGGAAGTGTCGAACTGTACCTGTACCCAGAAATGGGTTATTAACCGTAACGATGTCAAGTGAAGATACTTGCAATAATTATGAGTTTATTAGCAGTGTCGAAGCTAAGGTGCAGGCGAGCGAAAGGACGGACAAACGGACATGGGAAAACTAGATTAAGGTTTGTAGAACCCTAAAACCGACTTAGTGTGAGTCTAGCCCCATCAAACGGGAACTTACCCAGTGAACACAATTATGTCCAACTGATGTCAGAATGATCTCATGCCACGTCATGATTTACGTAAGACATAAGTCACATATTAGTAATTTATGACGTGTAATTCTTAGGTAAGACAGATGACATAAATATGACCTTTGATAAACATCGTAATGACTTAACTGACGTCAGAATGACATAACCTGATGTTATAGAGAAGTAAAGCTGCTACCGACCGCTTTAAGAAATATGACGTCCAGCTGACATACGTATCATTTATTTGATGTTGAGATGACATAAATTTGAGGTAATATAGTGATGAAAAGTTGTGTCCTGGGTGCCGATGGTGCTGGATCCTCTACAGAAGCGGGGGAGAATGTCGGGGTCAGGGGATATGCCGGAATGTCTTTCGGTGATGCTGCAGCGATAACCGCCTGGGCCATCTCAAGAACCTCGGTCGGAGTCCTGACAGATACTTCGCACACCGCGCGCACCTCCCTCGGTAGAATTCTCCTCAGGGCTCTCCTCTCCTCATCCACCACCTAGGCTTGAAGGAGTACATCAGGCGGGGTGGGGCGGGGGAGAGGGGTGGGGGCTCTCTGTATCTCTCACTGCCGAACAAAAGCCAAAATAGCTGCGGGCACTTACGACCAATGCCTCAAGCAAGAACGATAGGGACCGAGTCTCGAAAAATTTACAATACAATTTTTACTAAAAAAATAATGAAAAATTCGGCACACACTTCGAAACACGTCTGTCTTCGGTGAGAGCGAACGACAAAGGAGATAGGGACAAACCACCTTCTCATGGCCCCACCGACTTTATGTCATATGGGCCCATTCTAGAGACGGCTTGAGATGATCTGGCACGTAGGCGTCACTACACCCGCAGGCGCTTCTTGATCTATATAAGTTGTTTCTGATCCTGTTCCTATGTATGCACTCTCCCCATTCTAGAGCTGCATTGCAGTATTTTTCAGGGAATCCGTGCTCGCACGCACTCACAAAAATTATATTAAAATACTGAGCGTACCCCCAACACGTCTGTCTCCGATGAAAGCGAACGATGAAGTAGTAGTAGATAGAGACAACCCTCCACCTTCCCATGGCCCTACCAACACTCTTGGTTATAACTGGCCGAGTATATGGATGTCAAGAAGAATGGCTTGAACGTTCCGAGAGATGCTGTTCCTTACTGAGGTTGACCGGCAACTTCGTCTGCATCTCTCAAAAGAAAAAAAACGTTTTTACAACATTTATTTGATACTTGGTTTCTATTAGTCGAAGCGTGATAAATGGGTTATCAACATAAAAAAATCGATTCGCACAAGTCAAGAGTTCCCGAGATTAAATCAAAATAAATCCCCGTTAAATCAAACAAAGAAACGACTCACTCTTCAGCTTTATAATATTTAATTGCCTTCGGAATTAAATCGGTTCAATGGTTATTGATCCCCCATACAAACTTCCACCCCCTTTTCACAACCCTCAAGAGTGATTTCTTGGATGAAAACAATGCATCCTATCTCTTTCCAAGGGACTTAAATTATCTCTATACTAAATTTAATCTGAATCGGTTCAGCGGTTTAAGCGTTGTTCAGGCTCTCGGTAGGTAACGAATAAATAAATAGGCAAAAATTAAAAGGACGTATTAACTGTATTGTTTTATATGTTACACGGACGGTGACAGTGTAAAAAATAAAGAAAAATTGTAGTAAAATTTAACTTCATCAAAGACAGGCTTAAAACTAAGAAGAGCGTGATTGCTATGAATCTTGTAGTAGGCGTTATTTTGCAACAAGCATGAAGAGGTAACAGACAGAAAGACACACAGACACACTTTCGCATTTATAATATTAGTATGGATATTGTAACAGACCTTGTATTTGTTGAGAAAATATTAAGAACAATAAATTATTGTTAATGACGTCAGAGTATTTTTTTGATAATGTTTGTGGCGTCGTGTTTTTGACAGGAATACCATGATAGTCCAGTCATTTAAGCTTAAATTAGGTAAGAATCTCGGAATTCGAGATACCCAGCTGTAAGTCTGTAAATACTTGTATATTGACACCCTAAACGTTGTCTCAAAACCTACATATGGTAGGGTGTAAGCAACTATTAAATTTCAAGATCAAAGGTCACAAAAATCGATTATTTGCGCTTTTTTTTGAAATATCTCATTTCCTATGGGTTTTTTGCTACTTGTATTTATTATCAATATTGTAGAATACAAAATTCTCTACAAATTTTGAGTAAAAAATTTTTTTATACAGTGAACCGTTTTCGAGATAGAGGGCGGAGAGCGCGCGGTCACAGCATCACTTCAGGTCAACCGGTGCCTTCGGTCGAAAACGCGCCATATATAGTTGATCAACTATCGATAAATCAATGATTATAAATATTTGTCAATTTTTATTAACTATAATATTATATTTTATCATTTTCTTCATGCATTAAATCTATATCTATTCAATAATACTAAAAAGTCTAGTCAAGTCAACAAAACTTAATAAACCTGTGCAGCTTTCAAATATTCCACCAACAAGTGCAGCTGCTCATCAACATTTCAACCGTGTATATTATCAAGTTCAAACTTGGTTAGGACATGATTTGGAACCCCAGGTATGGGGTTCGGCAATGCGAAACGATTTTCTGGAGCCTATCATGTCAATTTCACCACCTGCTCCAGAAGATTTGCTAAATATAATTTTCTGCAACTGCAAGAGTGGTTGTGGTTCGCGATGCGGATGCAGGAAAGCGGGCTTGCAATGCTCTTTAGCTTGTGGCCAATGTAATGGGCAAGCTTGTCTCAATGCTCTACCATATCAGAGCGATATTAACGAAGATATAATAATATATAATATTCTACCACATACACACAACGCCATCTAGTCCCAAACTAAGCAGAGCTTGTACTATGGGTACTAGACAACTGATATAAATACATATATACTTTTTTTTTTGTAAATACATACATATTATACATAGAAACACCCAGACCAAATCAAACATCAAATGTTCATGCACACAAATGTTTGACTTGAGCGGGAATCGAACCCGCGACCTTTGGAATAGCAGTCCGTTACACAAACCACTACGCCATCCAGTCGTCGAAGATGGAACCTTTGACCCCGAAATCATGGGAGAACTTGAGACAAATGTCGTTGAAGACGATAATGAAGACCAGTTTGAAATTTACCAGCAGCCAGAAGACGACGATGAAGAGGAAGAAGATGATTAAAATTTTAAATTGTAGTTTTTGTACCCTTTATTCCATTTTTTTACTTTCAATAAAAATAAATGTATTCAATGATATTTTTTAATAAAAAGATTAATTAATAATTTATTTGTTTTTTTTTCATCATGTAAGAAGTTATTAATATTAATTAGGTTAAAATTCAAATATAATTCCTATATTTTCATTAACAATTCTGCAATTACATGGGCAGGTAAGTGTTGTTAAATAAATTAATACTGAATAAAAAGTGGATAAGTTAGGAATAAAATGATAAAATATAATATAATAGTTAATAAAATTGACAAATATTTATAATCATTGATTTATCGATGGTTCATCAACTGTATATGGCGCGTTTTCGACCGGCGGCACCAGTTGACCTGAAGTGATGCTGTGACGGCGCGCTCTCCGCCCTCTATCTCGAAAACGGTTTACCGTATAATTTTTTTTTCTTTTTTTAAATTTGTAGAGAATTTTATATTCTACAATATTGATAATAAATACAAATAGCAAAAAACCCATAGGAAATGAGATATTTCCAAAAAAAGCGCAAGAAACCGATTTTTGTGACCTTTGACCTTGAAATTTAATAGTTGCTTACACCCTACCATATGTAGGTTTTGAGACAACTTTTAGGGTGTCAATATACAAGTATTTACAGACTTACAGCTAGGTATCTCGAATTCCGAGGTGAACTTACTATAATGACTGGACTATGAATAAATTAAGGCAAAACTAACACTGAAGTTTGCATTTACTAAATAAACTACGATTAAATACACGAAATAAAAAGATTACTGCAATAATAATATACGTGATAATAATTAGTAATGTCACAATTACTAATTATTATCACGTATATTATTATTTAACCATTTTATTTAAAAACGATATAACATTCAACCAGAAATGGTTGAATGCAAATAGCATTCAACCATTTCTGGTTTATTTTATAAAATGGCAACTTCTAACTTAAAATGGAAACGGTCATTGATTCAATTTTTGGTCCTTATAAGATTTAATTTCAAACCCTGAGTTTCAGGAGGAGGAGAAGAGATTCATGGTCACATTCAAATATTTTTTTTAACATTTGAAATAATAACGCGAACGTCTAAAAGTGAAACCATCAATGGGCGTTCTCCTTTCTGTAAGTAATATAAACTGGCGAGGTGGTTTATTTCTGTGCGACCTCCTAAACACGTTCTCATTTCATTTATTGATTGAAAATAGTAAATTTCAATATTTAAAAAAAAAATAGGCTTCAATGAATTATTAACCCTTTGAACTTTGATAATTTAATTTAACTACTTAACAATGAATAAATAATAGATTGAAAACTAAAAAACCAGAGACTTTGTAACCAAACAAAAAAGTACAAAATAACTTTCTATAAGTTCGAAAAGCCACCCCTTATGTAGGGTTCTGTAAGTAATTAAAGTAAAAATAAGGCAAGGGCGTTTTATTATTTGATATTATAAACATTTCACATTAACGGTTTCGGCGGCCTCTTACGTCGCATTAGTTAGTCGAACTACTCGTAAACTAATAGTCTACTCAGAACCCTATAGAATAAAAGACCTTTAGGTACAATGACACCCCACATTATGCATTCGATGAATATAAAAAAAATCTATCCACAATTTAAAGGTACAAGAAGTACCCTTTGTTTTTTTTTTCTGTGCGGAACCCCTCGGATAACACCCACCAGTGGGTGATTATGTCGGACTCGAACCGACCAAAAACCGCACGCCGTCTCCAGGTACCACTAGCCGGGGAACCAGGTATACCCTAGAAAGGAAATCCCTGGTACCCCGACGTACCTCGGGCCATCTGTTACTTAAAGATGCCCCCCCCCCCTGTGTTTGAACCCAGATAATCCCCTCTTGCCCGGAAGGGCGTGCGCGCTCTGTAGCGCGTAGCGCCATTACCCACCTCGGCCTGCTTCTGCTAGAAGATGGCCTCACCTGTCAACCTCAGGGCTGTGCTTATGGAGGACGGCGCCCGAGCCGTCTGCGGTACCTGGCCCGTCCGCGTTCTCCTTCGCAAGCATAACCTGCTCGCAGAAGGAGAACGCGGACGCGTATGTATGTATGTATGTAACGAATGATTATTGGCCACCTTAAAATACGTCGAATTAAATTGGAACTTCGACTATTACTCTGATCAGGATCTTCAGGATTAACGGCTTTTTTCAGACTTAAAAATACTTATATACTAAATAGGCTTTTGCTTCCGATTTTGATTTCTTACTTGTTACTTTTACTTTTACTCGTAATGAGAAAATAATCATCATTAATGCAAAAAAA